GAGACTGTCCTCGGCTCAACCCGCCGTCCACGCCCTGCGCTCCAGCCGGGCGGACCTGGCCTCCCGCTTCTCCGCGTCGTCCCGGTTCACACTGTCCCTTTGTTCCCGCCAGTTCTGCGGGCGGGACGAGCACGTATAGAATCAACAGCTCCAGGAGGCGCTTGCGACGTGCGCGCTTGGGGAGTGAACCGTGAATTCAGTTGCCTTGTTCCCTGTCACCCGTTTCGATGCTTAAAATAAAATTTTTTTTAAAAAAAGCGAGTATGTTTCATGTCCAAGCTCCTAACAGTACGAGCATTTAATGGATGAGGAATAAATGGTAGGGCATGTTCCTACTTGGGTGTGAAGTCCGTCCCCCCTCCCACCCCCCACCCCTATATTCTATGTGGACAAATTGTCGGCAGGTACCCTAACCTGAGTCTTTGTTAACTTTTTTAAAAAATATTTTTTTATTAATTTCAGAGAGGAAGGGAGAGGGAGAGAGAAACATCAATGATGAGAGAGAATCCTGGATCGGCTGCCTCCTGCACGCCCCCCCACACTGGGGATGGAGCCCACAACCCGGGCCTGTGCTCTGACCAGGAATCGAACCCAGGACCTTTCAGTCCTCAGGCCGATGCTCTACCCAGTGAGCCAAACCGGCTAGGGCCTTTGTCGACATTTTCATGTGGTCCATCCACAAAAAGTAATGCGGATTTCTGAAGACAGGCTTTGGAGTTTAAATTGCATATATTTCTAATTTAAAAAAACAGCAGATAACAGCCAAGGCCACGGAGGTGAGGAAGTTCCCGTATGACAAATGTTTGTAGGGAGTACAATACCGGGTGGAGCAGAAGTAGGGTGGCAGTTGTGAGTACGTGAGACACGACTTTACTCTCGTCTTTTTTTTTTTTTTTTTTAATATATTTTATTGAGTTTTTACAGAGAGGAAAGGAGAGAGATAGAGAGTTAGAAACATCGATGAGAGAGAAACATCGACCAGCTGCCTCCTGCACACTCCCCACTGGGGGTGCACCTGCAACCAAGGTACATGCCCCTGACCGGAATCGAACCCGGGACCCCTCAGTCCGCAGGCTGACGCTCTATCCACTGAGCCAAACCGGTTTCGGCTCGTCTTATTATTATTCGTGCATTCTTTCCCATACGAACAACTGTCCACCTACGTTTGCCTTGCCTCTCTGAAATCAATAAAAAAAATTAGGAAAATAATAACAATATGATCAGATGATTGACATATGACACAATCGGAAGGGCCGGGTGGTGGCACATGTACCGTTTCTGCAGTTGAATGGCGTCGCTCCTGTTTATTCTTCGGGTAGCACCGCTTTTCCTGGCACTTGTGATTTCTGTCAGAAATAGTGCCATCCCCCGCCTGCCCACAGACACCCTCCCTCCAAGGTGGCCCACGTCTAAAATTACTCATTACGCAGTGAATACACAATGCAGGATCCTGGCCGTGGTTGTGGGGAAAATACAGGACCCACAGCCGTACACGACCGGCTCACACACCGTCCCAGTGAGGTTTTTAGTAAGACCAAAAGCCGCAGATCCTGACCGGTCAAGGTCATCGGATCCCCCAAATTCGGCCATACCCCCCTAATTCACAATGATTTTTCCATCAAGCACACAGCTGACAAGACACACATGTTCCATCTTGTGACCTATGGGGTGGTTTCAATAGTCTAACCCAGTGGTCGGCAAACTCATCAGTCAACAGAGCCAAATATCAACAGTACTTCTTCAAAATAGACTCGCCCAGGCGGAAACACCGACTTCTGCGCACGGGCCACGAAGTTTCAATCTCACTGTACGCGCGCCCGCACGTGGTGTTTTGTGGAAGAGCCACACTCAGGGGGCCAAAGAGCCGGATGTGGCTCGTGAGCCGCAGTTTGCTGACCCCGAGTCTAACCCGCTTTCAACTCCATATTTCTTCTTCTAGACTAATACCCAAGGAAAAGCACACTGCCCGGCCAGTGTGGCTCAGTTGGTTGAGCAGTGACCTGTGAACCAGGAGGTCCAGGGCACGTGCCAGGGTTGGGGGGAGGGGCTCGATCCCCAGTAGGGGGCGTGCAGGAGGCAGCCCTTTAATGTTTCTCTCTCATTGATGTTTCTCTCTTGCTCCCTCTCCTTTCCTCTCCCTAAAATCGATACAAATAGTTTCTAAAAAAATGAAAAACTAGTGTCCTTAGTCACCATCAGGTTAGG